TAAGACGACCGTACTATGTTCTGCGGCACTTCTTCTTCTTCCTCCTCCTTTCTTTCTCTTTTTCATCCAGATGATCTCTCTTGGCCACCTTCGAGCTCATTCAAGATGTGATTTTTCGGTGAGAAAGTTCTCTTGCTACTCGTCTATCGTACAACCACGATCGTGAAAACGACTTGGCTTTTTTCTTACCCTCTTACAGACTGAATTCTTTGATATTCTTTGTGGTGGTTGGTTTTTAAGGAATTGGTGAATAGCAAGGAGTGATCCTTCTGTTAACCCTTTGAACTAGATTTGTTTTCAATGCTGTCGCGCGTCAACTTGTATTTATTTTATGTCAAATTAGGTAATTTATATTTTTCATTAAAAAAAAGAACATAAGTTTTACAAAAAAATTCACGTCATCTTCAGCATGATATACGAATTCAAAGGGTTAAATGTTAGATTAATTAGATATAATAAATTATATAGAGTTTTCGGAATCTAAGATCGCCAAGAAGATTATAAAATTAATAATAAAAATAACATTTGTTAACCCACCCTGCATTATCCACACCGACAAACTCATGTTCGAATTCGGTAAGGTTCTATCACACCTAATGTACATTCTAAACGACATTTTTACCGGTGGTTGAGCCTCGTCGTCGGGGATGCATTTGGGATTGAATATCCGCCATCGGAGGCGCACGATCGTTGCAGGGAAATCGGTATTCGTTACGCGAATTTCTCGTCCCGGATCTTGCGATAACGACGCCAGCATTATCGCATTACGTTTTGCTCGACGAGACGCGAGCAACGCAAATGAGAACTTATGCTCCGCCCCTGTGTCTTCCGTTCGCCGTCATTTTTTCCCGTTTCACGGCAAAATATGTTTTATACCCAGCTCGGCTAACTGGAACGAGTTGAAACGAGCCCACTGACGAAGGGAAAAATGAATTCATTTGGAATCAATTACAAGATAGAACTCAAAATCGATCGATGGCAAAACCAGTAGGAAAGAATAAAACGTCTGATATTCCTCGAATCATTTACTGTTCATTGGATGATTGAAAAATTGAAACGACAATAAAACATTTTCCTTTTTCTATAAGAAAAGTTAAAAATTATTTGTTCTTTTGAAACCAAGTTTCAAATTGTTCGTACAGCTATGTCTGTAAAAGTGTAGAGAAGTTCCTCCTTGTACCTATTTATTGACCGTGTTTCTTGGGATATTGGTATTGCATCGTGAAATTCGAAATAGCACTTGTCCTTTCTTGATACACACCATACTCTAGAGAAAAATGTGACAGCTTCGATATTACACGACAAAGATAAGAAATAGATATCTGTTATGTGTTCTGATACTGTACACGAATCGAAGCTTCTCGGTAAGAAAATCGGAAGGGAGAATAATTTATTTCATTCAAATAAATTATTACTAAAATCTGCCTTTTGATATAGAAGAACCCGATAATTGCCTCTAAAGAATGACCCAGTTGGTCAATTAACAGAACGAATTAAGCAGCTTTCATTTACTCATTTCCATATTCCTCGCCATCGAACCGGCTCCAATTAACCGAAACGAAGAGGCAAGTTTTCATAGTCCAAGTCAGAGGAAGTTGGAGTCTCGCGGATCCTAAGGAAGTCGATCGTTGTTCCCCAACGAGCGGAAACATTTAAACGGGCTGCGTCTCGACGATGAATACACCGAGCCAGCGACACAGCTTACCGTCGGATTATAACAACGGCCTCCTGATCCGTACGAAGCGAGCAGCATTAATACAATTAGCGGAGCTTCCCTAAGCGGCGTAACCCGTGCTGCATAGCGCACCTCTGACCCTTGGACTTGGCCCAAATATTCGCGATTCCATGGGTCCAAGCGACCGCGAGTCGACCTGTCGACGAATTCTATTACCGAATCCCAGCCCTTATACGTTTCCTCTGTGCTTCGAATATTTTATGACGTTCGTCGTGCCGAAGATAGAAAGGATACCTAAAAGGATTTACACGGGCGCGACTGAGATAGAGACGGGCAGGTCACGAGCGGAAAGGGGAATATACGGGAGCAAAGGCGAGGAGAAATGGTGGAATTATTATTTGATGAATCGAGTAGATGGAATTCCGTTGAAGGAATTCACCGTTTGGAATTGCCGAGACGATCGCTATTTACCGAGCATTTTAACGATTTCGAGCATGATGTCACGCTTACTGTGGAATGTCGAGCTCGGTTATTTGTATTTCAGAATATTTCTCTAATATGCATTACTTTACGCAATTCTATAAAAACGTGTCATTTCTGAGAATGAAATTTAATTAATTAGAAAATTGACTGTTGTACAGTACCGAGCATGGTAGGCTTTCCCAGGAAAACTGGCGATGTCCCCGCTCCCATAAGTTTCTCTGGGTTCCCTGGAACCCCTGGTACCCCTTCCCCTTAGGCAGCCGCGATGAGACTGACGATGTAGGGGAGTCGGGCCCATGTTTATATGTCTGTGACCTCCCACCACTTGCATATGCACATTTAAGCGGGAGAATTTGAATTGATATCGGTATTATTATTCATACTAAATTTTATAACATTTAACAATTAAAAACTAAGTTATCTTCTTTTCTAAATCATTTTTAATATTAATATCGTTCAAATTAATATTTTAAAAATTCTTGTTTCGTAATATTTCGAAAATTCCAAAAGTCCAAATTCGTAAAAACCCTTAATATCAATTTCATCATTTTTAATGCTTGTACTAATAAAAAATTAAATTTTACCAGTCGTTCGTGAAACAAATCGAGTTAAAGAAATCGTCTAACGTTACAATTGAAAGGCTAGTGTCCCTTTGTTGGCCGAAACTTCTATAAAGGATTTCATCGATGACAAGACAGCGATATCTTTGGCACCCAGGTGGCCATTCGTTTACGGTTTAGAACGGACTCGATCAGCTTCAAAGGCAATTTCACCTCGGCTCGATTGGCCGACACCCTCGGGTTAGAAAGCGTCAAACGATCCTGCGGATGGGCGGCCAGCTCGTTCGCCTTTCAAATCTACGCGTTCCACCCTCACGTGGACAATGACCGTGTTGAATCTCAGATGGAAATTAATTTCCACCATTGCCAAATCGATTTCTTTCATTGCATCAACTTGATTTACCATTGCCCTCTTAACCCTTTCATTAATAAACGTAGTCACTTGTCAAATTTTCATATCACTTTCTCCTTTATTTAATTTATTCAACTATGTGGATAGCAGTAGTAAAATAACGCTTCACGATATTTCATTTAAAAAAATTTAATTTCAACAAAGCGTTTTATCAACAAAATTAAAGGATTAAAGACAGCACGAAAATATTGTAACAGGGAGAATGTAATCGCGTTTGAATGGTATTTTCAAATAGAATAAATAATAAAGTATAAAAGGAAAAATTAATTGAAATTATTGATCTATTTTACCGATTTAAGCTTCTTATTATTCTGCTAATAGAATAAAGTTCTTAAGGAAATACTTGTTTAAGTTGATTAACAGAGGAAATTGATACAATGCCTTTCTAGAAATGTTTCCCATTAAGAAGCTACTTTGATGTTCTTAAATAAATATGTACCTTTGAGCGAATTAAGAATCTTTGTAAGTTACTATAATTGATAAATCTGTTAATTTAGAGAAATAAAAAATCCTTGTAATGTCAAAGTACCTATCATTATTACTTGTTTTTCTGAATATAGGAAATTCGAATTGAATCGTGCCCGACCTTCTGTGTATCAAAATCGAAAGAATCGACGTCACTTTGTTCGGGGTATCGCGTTGGTATCGGGAACATCGACCGATCGACAATGCTCAGGTTCGTACGTGCCGGAACACGCGACATCACGCTTCCTATTGAAGCTGACACGAGCTGAAATCGGCGCTGCATCTCGGCCACGAAATAAGTAACGTTTCGCCGAAGATACTAATCTTGTTGCTTCATCGGAACGCTTCTATTTCTCGTCTTTGGAAGTCGTGCACGTACCACGACGCGGATCGAAACACTTGTTATCGTATCGACCGCAAACAGGAAGCTAACTCCAAGATATTACATCCGCGACGGCTCGAATAACACGTCACGCTGTGCATTGTCTTGCGATATAAAAGACATTTATTGGAGGGTTGTTGCTTTTAAAACATTTTCAGAATCAAAGAATTTCTAATAATGTGAATGTTGCCTTTTGATGAAAATTTAAAATTTATGTAGAAAATTTACACAAACCTTATCGATTATCTTCATAATATTTTACTATTTCTATTATTTGCAATTTGAAATGCCTAATAGCAATATTTCTAATTTGGTAAATGACAAAATTTCTAATAGCTATATTTCTAATTAGGTAAATGACAAAATTTTTAATAGCTATATTTCTAATCAGATAAATGATAAAATTGCTAATAGCAATGTTTCTAATTAGGTAAATAACAAAATTCCTAATAGCAATATTTCTAATTAGGTAGATAACAAAATTCCTAACAGCAATATTTCTAATTAGGTAAATTTCAGAATTGCTAATAGCAATATATCTAATTAGGTAAATGACAAAATTCCTAATAACATAGGTGATGGATTTCTATTCTAATCTAAGCGTTATAGAAAATTTCCCGAAATCTTATCCGTTAGTTTCACAATATTTCATTCGTGTGACTTTATTGTAAAGAAAAATCTGCTTCTTGCTCTTGATTCGAAAGTAATATATAAAGAAGTTGGACGATAATTCTGGGGATCAAGAAAAGTTATGCGATTCTGAGAAACACAATTCTGGATCGTAGCTGGCAGATGACTTATCGTTAGCCTTTTACTTCTTGACTTGTCAATAATAGAATTGTGAAATTCTCGATAAAACTTGTTACATAGAAAATCTATTACTGCGTTCTATTTTTCAGCATAAACCATTTCACTTGCGAATATAGGTGAATTTACTGATCATTTGAAACGATTGAAAGAAATGCATGCATATTAGAAATGTATGACATTAGAATAGTACAAATGGAGAAAGTTCCTACTTACTGAGGCGGGATAGCTTATAGGCATCCGCAGTATTAATTACATCTACGAAAGCCAGCAACTCAAACTTGCGAGTTGTGGTATTCTGGTTGTGGTTGACCATCGCAAATTTGAAGGCTGACTGCACTTCGTCGGTGCCCTGCTCGAAGATTGCACCTGCAATCAAAAATATATCACATCAGTTGTGTTCTAACGATAAGAAATACCTTCTATCACTAAGAAACATGAACATTTATATTAAAATGAAATTTGACAATTTTCTAAAATAATTTTTTTTCGAATAAAAAAAAAAAAGAAAATCAAATAAATTCTTGAAATAATCTTTTTCTTCACAGTGCACAAAGATATACAATATAGTGCATACCATCATCATATAATTTCTTAATTTTGCTTAAAATAACATGAAAAAATTATGGGAAGATCATATGATATTTTATTAAAAATTCCAAATTTCATGAAAGATCAAGCATCCATGAGTCAAGAACTATGGATAAATCATTCGGTTTATGGAATTTCAAGCACCGTCGATGTTCGAAGAAAATACGATTATCCGGTTTACCATAAAATAGAATGTAATAATCCTACGTACGTAGATTGTATTGGAGCTATGATCGGTCGGAAACTATGTTTACTCGCATATGGTACAGTAGTACGAGCCAACGTCTGCTCAGCCACTGTCGGCCCTCGACCCTCCTGCTCGTGTAATTACGTCGATCTATTCGCCGTTTAATACGTACCAATATTAATGCTGCCGCCTGTCCAACGGTTTACCCTAAACCACCCATGTAACCGATATTCTACTAAATTTCTAATTATAATAACCTCGATCGTAGCTGGTCAGCTCGCGGCCTTTTTCGATACACGTTCCTCGATACATGCACCTATTATCGATTCCCGTCGATGTATTAGTGAAATGAAACGTGCTTAATGTACACAGACGCGAGTAAGTGATTTGGGAATAAGCTCCGCAGTTTTACGTATAATCGAGAGGAAAAAACTTGAAACGAAAGAATATTTTTATATTGACAAAGTGAAAAAATTAATGGACTTATAATTAAAAGAAGATAATACAAAGATCAGAAAGTCAAAGAATAGGAATTAGATTAAATATTAAAATTGTTATTCTTATTATTATTTTGCTATAATGCAATACAAAATTCTTTATTAAATTAATTGCAATGGAAATTTAAAAAATGAACTTATTATAAAAGGTTAAAAAGTGAACAGTAATTTTTTCGTTCGTTATTTCAAATATGATTCATTTAAAAAAAATCTTACGACACGTATTTCTTCTAACAATATGTTTCCGCGAAGCATAGGTGTTGTTTTCGGTCTGAAATTTGTAAAATCTTGAACAGTAAGCAACGAGGTCGCGTGGAAAACGCGTTCTCGGTGAGTTCGCACAATTCATGACGCTAAATTCAACTTTCTTTCGAGTGTTTCGTTTTTCCCCTCGAAATGAGAGAACTTCTCAGCACCCCCGTAACTTTACGTAATATTATTCCAGGATTTTTCTTGTTTCTCGTATCGCGTCTTCGCTACAAGCACGTACCACTTCGCGCAATTTCAACGTCTCCCCAATCCAGGAAATCCTCAAAGAGTCTGCTATCGCTAACAAACGAATCATCTGGCTTTATCGAATCGATTATCAATCAAAATAAATGACCAACGCGCGTCAATACTTAAATATTAATGTTCCTTTCTTTCTTTGGGTTTAAGATTGTAAATTAGAACATAATTTCATAACATAAAAGTTTCATAAAATGGCACTTATGATATATCAATTTGAAGCTTAAGGTTTGCTGAAAATTATTACATAAACATTTCAAAAATATTTTTAATACAAAATGGATGATTGTCAATTCAAAGAAACAATGACTAATTTTGGAACGTTTGAAGTCTAATACAATTTGATGACAGAAAAGTGTTTTAAAATAGTATATATGCTACACCAATTTAAAGTTTAAGGTTTGCTAAAAATGACTATATAAGCATTTTGTTAATAGTTTTTATATAAAGTGGCTAATTGTTCGTTAGAGTAAATAATGTATGTACCACCCTACCAACAGGTGTTTTCGCTATATTACAAAGCAAGCTAGATATTTCTTACAAAGAAAACATATTTTTATCTTTCCATGAAAAACTATAAAATTCCGGCCTGATTTTTACCCTCTTGATGAGATATCAACAGAACTCTCTTTTCTCTTATCGAAACCTAGTTTCTACTTTTTGAATCGTTCCACTGCGACGTCACAAAGGTTCGTAAAACCATATCAAGACGAAAAAGATTATAATTCATCCAGGATGATGTTAAATAAACCCGGTCAAGAGATAATGCGAACATGACGCAGCTGTTTCACAGACTTTTCTGTCAGGATTCTTTGAAAACAGGTCGAAAGTTGAGGTCGATACTCCCGTCGAGATGTTTGTCTTCGTGAATTTCCGTAGTTACATGAATTTTCGTTTTCGTTATTCCTCTGAGAGAATACCGCTTGGAGGAAATTTACAATCTTCTGTCGAAAAGAAGAAGAATCATTTGACATTCGTGAAATCTTGGTCTGTTATGTTGTCAGAACTTGAGCTTCATAGAAAACTGCATACGTAATTTACAACGAGTTTTCAAACAAAAAATTTAGACTGGTAAATAATTGATCTTCTAGTTCTGTACAATTATATTTCATTGTTTAGAAGCCAGTAAATTGTTGGGCGAATGGCTTCGGCCCATAAGTCGATAATAATGAACAGAAATTGATACAAGCGGTAGCGCAAACATTGTTTAACACCTAAGACGTTGACGCTTGTTCGCGAAACAAGCTTCTAATAGTGTAGTTGGGAGAAGTTTGATGAGTTACGGCCGTAAAGTTGCTCGCAGACAATCAACCATTTATGATCTAACGTGTCTTGGATTTACACGATCCGTTGCCGTACCATCGGTTACAGCCCCATGATTCTTCTTCATGAATAAAACTTATCGATTCAGAAAACAATGATAATACCAAGAAGGGTAAATTCCATATTTATTATAATGGAAATCTTTAAATAGGTTTTATAGATACTTAGAAATTTAGAAACTTGGAATCTTGAAAATTTGGAACCTCAGAAGTTTAGAAGTTTAGAAACTTAGAAATTTAGAAACTTGGAAGCTTAGAAATTGGGAAACTCAGAAATTTAGAAACTTAGAAACTTGGAAATTTGGAACCTCAGAAGTTTAGAAGCTTAGAAATTTAGAAACATAGAAACTTAGAAATTTCACCAAATAATGAGACGGCTGGTTCTCATTGTCCTTTAAGGCATAAGTGAAAAATGAGGCTGTATCGTCTGGGGCGAAGGTTAAATAGCAATTTGGCTGTCCCTGTTTACTTCGGCGAGCGTTGACAGGTGGGGCGCCGCCGCGCGTCTATTGATTGGTGCCCAGCATCCCCACTCTCTCACACTCACATTGATTCCCCTTTTCTCCTCTCAACCCCTGTCCTTCGTCCTTCTTCACCCTGTTCCTTCAACTTCCATTTTTCCACCCACCACTCTCTACGTCTCCACCTTTTTAACTCTCCTCCGCCTCTCACGAAGGCGCTTCATACTTTTCTTTCGAGAAGCTCGTATTTCGGCATCGGTATTCGCCGTTTGCTTTAACCCGCTCGCTTCTACCTCATTTTTTCCCTCATTTGTTACCGGCGCAGTCTCTTCTTCAATTGAACTCGGCTTAGAATTCCGTCTCGAACTTCTGTCTTTGCTTCTGTGGCTACGAGCTTAATCGTTTTCTCGTTCTGTAATTTGTTTCACTCGTGTCTCCTTCCTTCTTCTTCTTTTTTTTTCTTCTTCTTCTTTGTCCTCTACGTGTGTTCCTTTTTATTGTTTCTGGCGGTTGCTTTGTCCCAGTTGCTTTGGACGAATCAACCGACCTTTTCTCCGCGTTCCTTCCGTCGCTACGTGAATTCCTAAAACCGTCGAACACTCTTTTTCCACGTTTGTCTTTTCGCTAGTTGGATCGTTCCTTCGTTTCGAATCTCCTGTTGTGTTTGCCAAGGTATTGGATCGGTTGACGGTACAATTTGTTGGAAGAATACTCGCAATTCTACCATTTAATTTAAGAAACTTCAAATTATATCTAATAATCTTGGAGCCTGTACAAATTTCCCCGTTTCGCTAATTTCTTCTATTTGCATTGAAAAGTAATTGCCCGCGAGCTTGGAAATTCGAATCCCTCTATCTAAGCAGAAAAGCAAAGCATTCACTGACCCAGAAATAAGATACATTAAACGAAAGTATTAATTGAAGGAATATTATTTGCTATCGATTAAGCGGAAACGCGGATGCAACGTTCGCACGAATAATCGTATTAAACTTAATGAAATCACTTTGAGGTTGCGATAGAGATTGCATTACAAAGTGCGTCATAAAACACAAAGTTTCGTGTAACCTGGTTTACATGAAAATTTTAATAGTTCAAACCGTTATATTGTCAGCCTGCCGTCAAACGGGAAAAATTTAATTTCCGCGCAATATTCCGTCCCTCGTATCGTCAAATATTGTTTTTCATGCGCGTATGAAAAAGCTTCTCACAGCAGATAACTTTCGAGTTTCAACATTCTATAAAAATTGAAAAACTTTTAATCGCTTTCGCCGGGAATGGATTACTTCTTCCATCAACCGGAGACGACTGACAAGCGACTACTGTCTTCCTGATATCTAAACAATTTCAAAACGCGAACGAGCTGAACATTCTTTACAATTCTCTTCTTCTTCTTTTTCTTTTTTTTTTTTCTTTTTTTTTTTAATCGTTCACGACGGAATATTAAAACCGTTCGACTGCACGCAGGTTGGAGTTGTATTTTATTTAAACATTTCACGTAATTTTCAGCAACGAAATGTTCCACAGTGGCGAACACTATTTTCGACACTATTCACCGTTCTGCGCTCGTGTTTTTCGCTTTAACGAGAAAGCGCACGCTCGTCCACCATAAACTCCGCGGACTGCACCGGCCACCGTACCACCATAATAAAAGATAACGAATAAAGTTAATGGAAAACGGTGAAGCGAATCGCAATAACCGAAACATAACGACATTGTCGATCGTTCGATGTCGTTCAGCTTGTAACGGCCATTATTCGAAATTTCCTCCATTCCGCTTCGAGCACCGATAATTTCAAGCTTCGCC